ACATACTCAGCCATGTGTGGGATCTACTACCTTAACCACAGTGCTTCCCACTGACCCATAAGAGCCTATTTTACATTATATAAAATAGGAAAATTAGACTATATGACACTTTTAGTTTAAACCAATTTTTAAAATGTAAATAAAATGTAATGCAGTACTCTTGTATGAGTAACAAATCCTTATGCTTTGTTTATTAATTAAAATTTATGTGTGTGTGTGTGTGTAGGAGTTTTTCCCTTAGTACACATATGCACATCAGAGAGAGACCGAGACAGTGAGAGGGAAAGTAAGAAATCTCTCCCTAGGGGGGATGGTCACACCACAGTCCCTTCTCCTTTTTTCTCCTTCTGAGATCTTGGGCATATATGCACATATACACACTGTGAGTTTTAAGATACCATGCCTGGTACTCAGACTGTGGTCAGCCATGTGATAGTCCCATGACATAACTGCTAGGCCATCTGCTGCCTTTTTCTTTTTAAGCACAATGACTTACAGGATGTAAAAATCTTAAAAGTTAATCTACTAATGTACACAAAATTGCTCTGTAGGTTTTTCAAAAGTCTTACATATGGCTATAAAGTTCTATTGATTGTATCAGACATGTATTTAAGACTTTCTTATGATATTGTTAAAAAAAACATTGCTGGGGCTTAAATGTATTGTTTAGCATTTTCTGGTTAAGGAACAAACTAAGTATTGTAAAAACTAATCAATTTATTTGCTCAAGGGTCCTTGGGTCTACACTTTGGTGTGAGTTCAGTTGAGTAGTTTCTATTCTGGTTGACTGGATGACAAGTGAGGATTTAATCATGTGGTGCCTTAAGAGAGTCTGATTTATTTCAGATGACTTCACTCTTCTGCCTAGTGGTTTGTGTTTACTCTTGGTAAGGCCCATGTTATTCCACCAATTTAGCCTCAGGATTTTTCAATAATTACTCTGCCAAAAAGTGAAGCACTGTTGCGAGCAGACGGTGTGGTGGTTAAGGCACTGGATTCCAACATGGACTAACTCTGGTTTGAGTCTTGGACCTTTCAGCTTGAAAATCATACTGGGCACATGTGTGTGCACGTACCCAAAAATTCCAAGGGGAGAATAGAAGAGAAGGGATTGTGGTTTGGTTATTCTCCATTTCTCTCTTTCCTTCTCTCTGTCTTTCTCCAGTGAACATATGTGCCCTATGGCAAAAACATAAAAGCCATAAAGAAAGAATGGAAGCACTAGTGGGCAAAAAATTTCTAAACTTAGATTTCTATCACATTTTCTTTTTTCAGTTTATTTTATTCATGATAGAGCATGCATATCCACTCAAGATTGAGTGAAAGAGAGAAGCACATACAGGGATTCATTACCATGTTTCCCCAGCTCATCAGGATCTTAGGCATGTGCACTTATTCATAGGCTTGATTTTAGACTGACCTGGAGACCCAAAGTCATGGTTAACCATATGCCTTCCAAGACTGCAGTTACATTTGTTATTGACTCCAAGCTGGACCTGCATTATCTTTTTTTTTTTTCAGCTTTTGCTATAGGGCATGTGTGCTTGCTAAAGAGAGAGAGAGAGAAAAGAAGAAACAAGGAAGGAATGAAGGAAGGAGAGAAGGAGAGAGGGAGAAATCTCAAACCAGAACTATGGTCATGCCTAAGTTTCTTCTTCATTCTCTTCTCAGGATTTTGGGCACACCTGAACATATGGCTGGTCTGCTTTTCAAGGTGTTGGGTCTGGGAATTGAACCATGGTTGGCCATGTGGGATCCAGCTGCATTAACCCTCATACCATGGGGTGGCCTAATAAATTTCTATTTCAGTATGACTTAATTTATGGGTTTTGATTATAATATTGTCTCTTGATCTTTGTCTTTGATTGCTCTTTTGTAGTTTTATAATATTTGTTATTGTCAGTTACTCCAGTGCTTTAATTAAGAAATTGTCTAATTATATATTGTATTTGACATTCTAGATAAATTTTAGAACTTTTGGTCTCTTTTTCCATGAAAAGAAAACATACTGGAATTTTGGTGGAATATTTGTATCAGTGACAGAGATAGCCCTTCATTTTGATGTATTTTGAAAAAGTGGTCATCTTTGTAAAGGTGAGTTTTTCTTTACATCCATATATTCAAGTCTATAAATTTTTTTCTTATATATTCTACATATTTGTTTCTAAAAGCTTGCGTACATGTATATTACACAAATGTCATGTTCATATAACTTATGTTGTATTTTATACTATTTATTAAATTGGACCTATAAGAGCTAAAATATGGCTTACCCCTAGGAACCACTTCCCCTATACTGCCCCATTCTTTTCTCACTTAATGACTTCTTGCATCTTCCACCTCAGTTTCAAATATTTAAACTAATGCTATGAATTCTTATCTTAGTACTTACATTCTTATATTTACACATTTATTGAACATTTAGAAATCTAGTTAAAGTATCTGAATAAGTGTCTTTGTCTACTTTTTTGGGGGGGATCTCTTTTTTTTTCCTCATTAAAAATGTTTAGTTACAGGGTCAGGATGTGGCATAGTGGCTAGATGCTAGACTCCCACAGGACTGACCATGATTTTTGTGGACCTCGTAGCTTTCTCTCTCTCTCTCTCTTCTCTTTCTCTTTGTCTCTCTCTGGTGAATATGTGTACACTGTAGAAAATTTTTTAAAAAGGGATAAACAAAATTGAATAAATAATTCTTAAAAACTATTTAGTTAGTACTTGGGAGGCAGGAGGATCATAAGCTAGCAAGATCCTGTTTTTTAAAAAGTTTTTATTAGAAAAAGAGAAGTATGTTTGATTAGACATATGGTCATTATTTTCTCATACTCTTGTCACTTCTCTTTACATTCTTTAAGTGTATCATTTGATGAATAGAATTTTTATTTTAATGTACAATTTATAAATTATTTAAAATATTGTTTTACATAACTCTTAAAAAGTATCTTTGGAAATTATTATGTAACATGGGCAGAAAAGGTACATCATAATTTTTTGCTACACAGATATAATATTGTCTTCACAGCTAATGCTCTTTGGAAAATATTTTTTTCCCTGCTTCTCTGAAGTGTCATCTCTTTCACTGATACAAGTTACCAAAAGCCAGAGGTATTTTTAAGAGTTTCTCTTAGTTCAACTGGTCTGTTTATTCACCTCGTTTCTAGTTTTACACGCTTTGATTTTTATTACTTTGTAAAATTTGTATTCTTATGTGTGTTTGTGTGTGGATGTTATCATTACAAGAATATACATTTGTTATCAAAATTGAGATTTCTTTGAATTTTTTTTTTTTCTTCAGAGAGATTTTTGCCATAGGGTACGTATACTCGCTGGAAAGACAGACACAAACAAAAAGTGAGAACTCACCCCCCAAGGGGGATGATCATGCCACAGTCCTGCTCCTCCATTCTTCTCTTGGGATCTTGGGGCACACATGCACATGCATCCAGTGTGAGTATTCAGTCACTGGGTCCGGGGTCAACTATGTGAAAGTCCAGTGATGTAACCATTATGGCATCT